TTATTATTATTATTATTATTATTATTATTATTATTATTATTATTATTATTTTATTATTATTATTATTATTATTATTGTTATTGTTATTATTTTAATATTTTACATTGTGTTATAATGAAAATTTGGAAGGATCATGTGGCCTTTTTTTTGAGTTTTGCTCAAAATGGTCCTATTGTTAGTTATATGAACACTTTCCAAATTAAGAGTTTCTAAAACAGAAATTTTAGGTGAATGAGTGGATAAAGTTTCTTTCTTTTTTTGGAACATGTTGGAAGGATTTAAATTTTTGATTATTTTTGGCAATTTATGGTATACTTTTGACCTATATTTTGTTTCTAATGCTTGTTTTATGCACACCGTACTATGTTGCGATGAAGATCGTGTATCGGGATTCGATTTGTGTAGAAACCCGCACTAATGGTCTTAGTTCGAACACAATATTTATTGTGAAAACCCGCACTAACTACCTTGGTTGACACATTAATAAGTGAAAAAACCTGCACTATCGACCTTGGTTTTCCACGAAGAAAGTACTCGGGAACGAGCCTTTTTCTTAATCTTTATTTCGTAAACTTCATTCTTACCGTCAGGGGCAGAGCCATGTATAACTTCACCCGGGCTTTAGCCCGGGTAGAATTTTTGGGGCTATTATATCTATATGTGTGTGTGTATGTATGTATGTATTTATATATTTAAAATAATTATAATTAAAATTGAAATTGAATAATGCTAGTCTAATTAACCAACTAAAATATATGGCATAATCACATCAAATAAAATTATCGAACCATTGTAAATATAAACATCCATCTAATAGGTAACAATTTTAAGGGATTTTATCATGATACAATTAAATACTTTCTTGGAATTTTAGAAATAATTGTTCAACTAGTTAAATTTGTTCCCAATAAGTGTTCCTTTTTTCTCTTTTTAATTTTTGCTTTCTTGTTGTTATAATAAAGTGTCATTGACTTTTTTAAATCCAGTCTAAAATTTAAACTAAAAAATATATTTTAGTTAAACGAATATATTTAAAAAAATATTTATTGCAAAAGAATTTAAAAATAATATTTTTATCATAATTTTTATTTAATATCTATTATAATTTTAGCCTGGTAAGATCTAAATTTCGGCTCCGCCCTGCTTACAATAATGAATACAAAGGTCGTATCACAAAAACAACATTCATATTTAAATATTCAAACCTACAACTAACTAACATATTTAAAATTTAAAAAGAAACTAATATAATTATCCTATCCAAATAATTAACTAACGCCAATACTCTCGCCATCATCCATACGATTTGATTTCCACTCGGAAGTTCGGTTCGTATTAGGTTGCTATGACGCAAGTCTAACGGTTAGGCAACCATTCTTATTCATGACGCAAATCTAACGGTCAGGCAACAGTACTTATACATCAAATATACGTACTTTCAGACTTAATTGTCATATTTTAAAAAATAACATAAATAATAATTTAATGATATGAGTTCTCGTAGCATAAGTATTCCTTTTTGTTAAAAAGGTATGACTGATATACCCACCTAACGATTAGGCCACCTCACACGAGAATTTGTGCTCAGCGTATATCTTGTTCTTTTCCCTATTCCTCTATGTTTGGTTCAAAGGAGGGGAGGGGAGGAAATTTAATGGAGGGGAGGGGAGGGGAGGGGAGGGGAAGGGAGAGAAAGTAATTTTACCTTGTTTGGAGGGATTGTGTAGGAGGGGGAGGTGATGGAAAATGATTAACCTTGTTTGGTTAGAAGATGAAGGGGGAGGGAAAATAAAATTATATAGACAAATATACTCTTCTTTAAGTTTTTTTTATATGCGGTAATGTTGTAATTATAATGAGTTCAAAAGGACAAATTTGTACACTTAGACATAATTTTTTATTTCCCCTCCAAATTCCCCCAAAATTGGAGGGGTGCCATTTTTCCGCCGGGGAGAGAAAATGAGGGACAAATTTCACCTCCCTTCCCCTTCCCTCGGTGAACCAAACAGCAGAAAAATGTAAGATCCCCTCCCCTCCCTTTCCCTCCCCTCGGTTTCCTTCGAAC